GCTTTGTAGCAAAAGCAGGAATATAACCTAGTAAAGTAAAGCCTGTTGTTCGCATTGTTTTGCCTTTTTGTTTTCCCCATTAAAAGATCGTAATGCAAAGGACTCTAGGGCCTTCAATTTTATAAAAATAACTTTGTTTAAAAACAAATCAACCCCCAAATCTGAGCACTACTATAAAACAAAAAAACAGGTAGCTATGTGGTCGGCCTGGTTCCCACCGCCTTTTGCAAACAAAAGTACCACTTGGATCAACAGTTCCCTGTGGGGTGCAGCCGTCTCTAGTCACTCCCTGAAGCTGCCTGCTACCAATGCAAGTTGGTTCCTACGTTCAGTTTCTGGAAATATGCACCATGACAGCAGCAGGAACTCTCCTGTTCTCACATAGGCGACACCTACATAATGACTTTGCTAATTGCCTCCTGCTGGCCGGGTGCTGTGGGGACCTTCAGTGTCTGAAAGTCTATGGAGCCTTTCTTCAAAATGTCAAGATGGAGCTTGCACTTTCTGAGCCATCTCTCCTGTCTCCCTGGGCAGGAAAAGGCAACCGGTAAATGTCAGCCTTGGATCAGATTGACCAGAGCCAAGGGAATCAGAACTTCCCCCCACCCTGGCTCTGGGCTTTTTGAAATCATTAACATTTCAATGTGGGTGATCCTGTGAACCGCTACCTCTCCTCACCCTTTTCCTGAACTCTTTAGCATTTTTTTCACCTTTCATTGAATTACAAACTAGTTGCCGGGAAAGCCAGTATCAAGTTTCTTATCTAGGTCACTTTCAGTGTACTGGAGCAGAGGTTTGCACTGTAGTTAAAAATTCACACTACAGGGTGAAATTTATATAATCCTGATGTAGTGGGTGGTGGGTGGCTACCATCAATTCTTCAGAGAAGGAAGAATATAGTAATTATAATTTACCTTGTTTCAGTGGTCTGGTCCATCCTTAGCTGGCCAAGGAGAACCACTGATATTTCTTAGCATTTTTATTTTCTTAGCTTTTTCTTTTTCTTATTTTGATCCATGGCTGTTACCTCCAGATCTTTTAGCTGACATGCATATCCTGCTTTACACAGCTTTGAGTGATGGCTGCTGTGGGCCAGGGAATATTTATAATCAGTATCACCTCCCTCTTCCCCAAATACTTATTTCAGCCTTTACTTGCCGGTAGCTTTATGTTGCTGCCTGTATTTTGTTTCTAATTAAAGCAAAATGTGGAAAAGAGAAGTGTGGTTTGGGAACACAGGCTCCTTGAGTTTGGTATTCCAGCTCCGGGGTCTTGGGTAGCTTACTTTACCTCTCTGAATAAATCAGAATATATTGGTATAGCAAAATTTCTATTCCAGTTCCATTACACATATTCCTCATTGGTTTTTCCACCTACCTTTATATGAGGATACAATTGAACCATTTGGCATGAACTTTGCATTCAAGTGATGCCAATTTTTGTGTTACTGTTGTTATTTAGAGGACTCTAAAGGAGAGGGTGGTCCCCTGAGCTTGCTGTTCTAAGGACTGAGTCTGGCTGAGATTGCACATCCTTTGCGGAGAGGAGACAGCAGAGCAAACTACTTCCTGTCCTCTTCCCCCTGCCACATACACACCCCATCACCCAAGAATGTGAAACCAACCACTGGCCATGCAATAAGGTGGAAGAATGGAGGGGTCACTAGCATGACTTACATTTAACAGCCTAGATCACAGAATGAAGGTTCCTTTTGTTTGGGGTTTAAGATGATATAACCAGCCAAATTCCACATCTCTGAATCTCTACCTCATCCAGCTCGTGTCTGTTCACATCAGCCGTTTCTCAGCCCAGACTTGGTGACCCCAGAGTCACTTCCCTACCCACCAGCCTCTAAAGTGACTTCTGGACGTCTCAGAGCTGGATACAGAGCTTTGATCCCCAGGGTGGCTTTCTGGAGAGCCTCTTTCACAAGTCACAGTGACAACTCACCAGCTCCACATCTCTGTGGGCCCACATGGGTTGCGGGGGTCAAAGCAAAGAGAAAGGGCTGCCAGCATTCACCTCCTCAGCTGGAACCTCCTGCCCTGCTGCCTTCCCCCAGGACTCCAGACCTGGGGATTGTCATCACTTGCCACACATTTTTCCCCTCAGTGGTTTTTTTTGCTTTTTCTTTGTTTGCTTGGTTTGGTTTGTTTTAGTGATCGTTGTTGTTTTTAACCAAGGACTTCTGCATCTTCTTAAAAATAAGAAAAAAGTTTGGCAATAAAAAATGTTTCTCTTCACAAAGCTGTGAGAGATCCATTCATTATGGGATTCATTAATTCTCATGACCTTTTAACAAGACAGCACTTTTGCACACTTAGATGAAACCATTCATTTTTTTTTTTTTTTTTTTTTTTTTTTGGTACCAGGAATCAAACTCAGGACCTTGTGCTTACCAGACAGGTGCTTATGCCGCTGAGCTACATCCCCGGCCCCAAGACCATTCATTCTAATGGAGAAAGAAGTGCTGCTTCTTTTACCGCATGTATTGAGTTGTCAGAGTTCACACAAGTTCTCCATTAGCTTGGAATTGCCAATCTATAGATTAAAACAGTCAGAAGATAAGCAGAAATGTGAGCTAATTCAACCTTAGAAATAGCAGTTTCCTTTCTTCCAGGCAAGTTAACTGTTTTATTCTTATTATCATCAACTAGTCAGAGAAAGTAGAGAACAGTGTAAAGTACCTCACACAGTACCCAGTATCTAAAAAAGTTCAATGCAAGGGCAAGGTCATGAGTTTGATTCCCGCTACCAAAAAAAAAAAAAAAAGAGATGCCCTGTAAATGTCAGCTCCTACTGTCATTATTGTCAACAGCACAAATGTAATGTTTAGAAAATATAGTTGTCATAGAGATGTGTAGTATGCAATGCAGTATGCCACATAGTATCTCCTTGATACTGTGAGCATTTGCAGTGAAATTAATGCACCTAGGAAGAGGCCGATAGGATTCAAAATCAGCTTTTTTACCTCTAGTTCTGTGCCACAATAACCAGAGAGAAAGCAAAGGGTTATTCTCATTGCTGTAGCATGGCCTGAATGTGTGTCCCCTCAATGGCTTGTGTTTGGACCTGACGTCAGTAGTTGTGCTCAATGTATCAGGCACCTCTACAGCTGTGAGTGTGTGTATGTGTGTGTGTGTGTGTGTGTGTGTGTGTGTGAGAGAGAGAGAGAGAGAGAGAGAGAGAGAGAGAGAGAGAGACTTGAAGGAAACCTCTCAAAACAACCATCTGTGACATCTTCCATAACCTAGGGCCAGGTATCATAGCTGCCTCTACTTCCCAGGCTCTGTATCATTGCCTAAAAAGAGACTTTAGAAGCCAGGGAGGCTCTTTGATGTGTAGAGGGAATGTCTGTAATGCGTGCCTCGCTGATGTAGCAAGGTGAGGGAAACCTCTACAATGTAGGTGGAACTTGGGTCTCCCGACCGGAAAGACAGATGATGCATGTCCTCCAGATGTGAACCAATCTGGATTCTAGTCTAGACTCCACCAGTAGCCAAACATTGAACCTGGCATATGTCAGTTGGTTTTGTATCTTTGTCTCTTCATCTGTAAAGTGGATTTGTTAATACCTTTTAGAATTGTTGAGAGGTAAAAGAAATACTGTTTTTAATACTCAAAACAATGCCTGGTACATGGTAAGTACTCATAAATGATAGCTTTATAATTACCATAATTTTAACACACCATCTGAGGTTTTTTGTTTAATTTTTTATTGAAATATAATACTTTTACATCTTTATGGGGTACAGTATTCTAATTCAGTACATATATACATTGTATAATGATCAAATAGCAGTCATAAACACTTTCATCTGAAGTGTTCATTTTTATGCATTGGAAACTTTAACCTTTGAATGTTTGCCTCTGTCAACTGAGTCCAGTACATTGCTATGAGGATTAGACAGAATGTGGACAATGTATTACACTGCCTGTCAGACAGTAAGTTCTCAGAAAATGTAATTACCACAGGCCTCTCTAGCTCTATAGCTCTTCTACATTCCCATGACCTCTTAGGGGCCAGCCAACCCTTCCTCTGGGGCTTGTCCTTTGAAACCCAGAAGTAGCATATTAAATACACTCTTTTGCCTATTACAGTTTTTCTTCAAGAGAAATACATTAAGAGTTTCCTCACTCTTTCTTATGGTTCTATACTGTTTGTTGTATGTGGATGAAACTTATTTAGCCCCTTATCAATGGTCTGCTTTAAAGCATTCTGCTATTACAAGTTATGCTGTGGTGAATAGCCTTATGTACATCTTTAGTATGTGTGTTGAGTATACCTAGAGAACAGATATCGAGAATTGGAACCTTTAAGCCCCAGGGTAAAAGGTATATGTATTTTAAATTTTATAGCTTTTACCAAATGTCATTTTATGCTCGCACTGCCAAAGTCTAAGAGTACTTACTTCCCATTCTGTCAGTGTAGTATATTTTCATCCCTTTGTATCTTTGCCAAACCATATGTGAAAAATAATATTTCAGAGTTCAACTTTAATTTCTTTTGCTATGCATGATGTCAAGTCTTTTCATATGATTAAGAACCGTTGGTATTTCTTACTCACTGTAAACCGTCTGTTCTTATCCTGTGCCTGGTTTCCTATGGAGTTGTTCGACTTTGCTCATTATTTGTAGAAGCTCTTTTTTATATTAAGAAAATTAACTGTTGGTGACACAAATTACAATTTTCCCTCTAGATTGTTATTTATCTTTCAAAGCAAAAGGCCAAGACTTCCTGAAACTCCTCCCTTCACTCCCCCCCCCCCCCCCATCTCCACCAGACCGTGAGCCCCTGGAGGACAGAGTCCCAGCTCTGACCCCCTTGTATCCCCAGGCCCAGACGCAGGGCCTGGCTCTGTAAGAGCTCTCTTCAGGGGCTGCAGTTGAACTGAACTGAATGTCTGTATTCCCTACCCCACCTACCCTTCCCTTATGGCTTGGGAGTTGCAGTTCCTCCTCCATCAGAAAAAGATGACTTTTCTCATTGCTCACCACAGCCATGCACCTGTTTGGCCTAAACTGGCACCTGCAGCCGATGGAGGGGCAGATGTATGAGATCACGGAGGACACAGCCAGCAGTTGGCCTGTGCCAACGGACGTCTCCCTGTATCCCTCGGGGGGCACTGGCTTAGAGACCCCTGACAGGAAAGGCAAAGGAGCCACAGAAGGTAGGGTTGCTGCGTTGTCCGTGTTGTGAGTCCTCTGTGTCTCCTTTGAACCAAGGAGACCTCCATCACGTGCGTCATGTGCCTAGCTCACAACTCCATGCTCTGGCGCTTCCTCCATCCTTCTGCACTCCACGCCAGTTGCACATCTACCTGTGTCTTCATTGCAGTTTCTTGTCATTGTGAGCTCAGAGTGGGGCTTGGGCAGATCTCATGGTGTGCAACAGTATCCCATCCCATGCCTCAGGAAGCATTCTGGGTGCTCACATTGCTGAGGTGGCCATCTTCATGTGGGGTCAGGGTGTACCTTTCTGGGGAAACCTCACAGGACGAATGGGCATCTGCAGGACTGAGGTGTGGTGAGTGTAGATTATTTACTATGATGGAAGGATGTTTAGACCTTGGGGTCTACTGAATACACTTCCAGTCTCCCATGTACAACTCACGTGACCTAGAGCAAGTCACTTAATTTCCCTATCTTCTAGTTCCCTCATCGGCAATAATAACTGTGATCATTAGTGTCTATACAGCAGGTTGTTTCACAGCTTCTTGAGAAGAATAGCTCATTTCACATTGAATCCTCACAGAAATGTGAGGTAAGTATAATTATTTATGCCCATTCTAGAGACAAAAACTAAGAATTGCATCAAGTAATGAATTGGCCAGAGTCACACACCAGTAATGGTGAAGACTGGAAAGTGAGCCCAGGCCTGTGACTCTGGGCCTCTTGTTCACTCCATGAACTTTCCCGCCTGAAGCAGCCTGCAGTTACAGGGCCATGACAGAGATGCAAATGTTAGATCCTGTTGCACACTGAGATGCAGACAATTTCTTCCAGTGACAAAAGTGGTGATGGCATTTAGAGGTTTGGCATTCATAAATGGGAATCCAAGACCCATGTTGTGAACTTTTAAGGGTATTTCTAACATGCTATCAACACAAATTCGTTCACTGTCAGCCAAAAATGGCACCAAATCACGAAAACTGGCACTAGGAAAGCTACCTGAGGCACAGGCAGTCTGGTATCCATTCTGGACAGTGTGGCCATCTTGTCTTCTGTGTCTGCTGCAACCTGCGTCATCCCTCTGTGTCTTCTCAGTCAGCAGAGTGGCATCTCTGCTGACAGCCTTAACTGCATACGTCTTCTCTCCTCTCGTCTCAGTCACCTGTGGAGTAGGAGCCTCTGAGCCTCTTCAGCCTTTCAAGGATCTGCCTCTAAGCATTATCTTCTTATGACCTCTGAAATGATGATCCTGAAGTTGAAAGTCAGCTCTTTACCTGGGGCCATCATTAAGGGAAATGAGAAGTGAGGATACTGCCAGAGTCAAACCAGAACCTCTGCCCACCATTTTGAGGGACAAAGCTAGTGTTCTCCTTTGTCAAGATTCTAAGGCTTAAAACATTGAATAATTTCTGCTTTCTTTACCCCTACTAAGATATGGAGGGATGTAGCCTGAATGGTGCCATCGTAAAAGGTCTGAGTTAGGAGTTGGGAGTGCTGAGTTCAAGTCCATCTGTTACCACTGACCCGTGGCATAAGGTCAAGCGAGTCCTCTGAAAGATGTTCTGGAATTCATTTACAGTGGACTCTTGAGTTACAACTGAACAACTTGCATTATGACTGGAATTTTAGCATTAATTTAAGACCAAGATCTTGAGTTTTGACCCGAAGGCTGGCCGCCTGTGTTTCCAGATGGTCTCGGATACAGATTTAACCCTTAAAGAGTTCTGGAAGGAACACATTCTTAGAGCATCCTTTCCTGTATGGGGTTAATTCAGAAATCCTGGACCAGTGTCTCGCTAAGGACATTAAAATCTGCATGTATACAAAAGAGAGTCTTTAAAGCCTGAGCTTTCAATTAACAATATAAGTCACAACCAACCCTCAGGAACGAATTGAGTTCATGAATCCAGGCTCCACTGTACCTCTTCTTCTAAATGGTACTGAACTAGATTCTCTGTAAGGTTCATCACAGCTTACAAAGTCTACCTATGAAATTAGCAATAGAATTATCTTATAATTAACTGATGGCTCTTCAGGACTTTTTCAAGATGGCCTTGTCCATGGTACTGCCTGTTGGGTTGTGACACTCGCATCAGTGTACAGTGTCAGATGCCATAGGTGAACAGCGTACAGGAAAGACTGTTTTTAGATCAGCTTGTGAAAACATAGATTTCAAATCTGTTTAACCCTAAAGGAATTGGTAAAGGGTCTCATTTAGCAAAATGTACTTTTCTTCCTTTCATGATCCTTAACACACATTCTTTAAGAAGGGGTTGGATCTATCTGAAATCTCCCACTCTAATGAAATTAGTTTGTGGGTTGCTTAGGTTTTGTTTAGTTTTTCGTAAGGAGCTTGAGGTGCAGATAAGAGACAACAACATAAAATTGCACCAGCTTATTGGTTTATTTTAATTGGAGTATTTTTGCTTAAAGGGATTATCTGTCATTACTGATGCAAATGGAAATCCTGTTTACAAATCCCTTAAATGCAATGCAGTGCTGGAAAGTGGTCAGCATCAGAAGCAATTACTGTGACAAAAGATACATCAGCTTCAAAGACAGAACCACATGATTTATGTGAGACCACATGATTCTTATTTTTATTTTATTCTTTTTATTTTATTTTATTTTTGGCTCTGGTCAAACCAATGTCTATTTGGTTTATATTTTTAATTGTGATGTTACAAACTCTAATTCTTCAACATGTCACAAGGGAGAAAGTCTCTATCCTGAGGCAAGTGCATATTTCTTGTCTCTTCAGGAGGCATCAGGGAGGAGATGTAATTCCAGAATTAAGAGTTGAGCCTTGGCTCCATAGTGATGGGGGAAGCAGTATGTGTGACAAAGACAGGTAAATGTGCCTTGGAGTGAGACACTCCAGGATTCGATTCTTGGCTCTGCCTTTTATTGGCTCTGGTAAATCACACCAGTTATTCCATCTCCTTTGCCTTAGCTTTCTCATCTGTAGAACAAGGATGATACCTATCCTTCCAAAGTCTACTGTCAAAGAAGTGCTTACAAATGCTCATTCCTCTCTTCTTGTCCACTCAAATCCCCAGTTATTTCAGCTTAGTTATTAAAATCCCAGAAGCTCAGACTAACTATTTTTTGGAGGGTGCCAGGAATTGAACTTGGGATCTTGCACTTGCCAGGCAGGCACTTGTGCCACTGAGCTACGTCCTCAGCCCCAAGACTAATTAATAGTTACCCCCCACATAGCCTCCTGAGATTTAGGATATTTTTAATATATTTAAAGCACATATATTTTTAATCATATAAATTAAATATATGATAATCCTACTATTGTAAATGTTTGTCATATCTTTGAGAATAACATGAAAACTACAATTCATATTATATTTTCAAGGTTGTCATAGAACAGAAACAAAATACAGCAGCTTTTCAAAGCAAAAACACAAGAACTTGTGTTATACATTAATGGAGAAGGGGGGAAAAAGTATTAAATAAACAAGCATTTCTGATGGTTGAATTGGTGGACTCGGGGTAGCATTTTCTTCTTTCTGCAGTGAAATCAAAATTGCCCATCAGTTTGAACCATACAAATTGCTGCACACAGGCTCAGCTAGGCTCTCCAAAACGGAACAGCTTATTTTGATAACCAAATAAATTTCAAACAGTTGCTAAGGAAACTAAAGGATTCTTTGTGCAAGTTATTGCATTGAAAAGAATCAGAAAGGTAGAGGGAGGGGAAGATTGTTAGTTGATTAAAAATTTAGAACCTTCTAGATAGGTCTCAATTCAAGAAAGTGGGGACTGTGATTGTGAAACATGTAGAATTTTAGTCCTTCCAAACCTGTTGGACTGAACTAGCCAATCATTCAGCAATTTGTTGAGGGATTTTTTTGTATAGACATGATCTGTCTGACCTTACCAAAAAAATGGGGTGAAGGACTATTACTGGTGGCATCTGCCTTGTGAAACCTAATCATGCTTGTGGGGGTGTGGGGGGGGTGTGCTTAATTCTGAGCTAAGCTCTTTCTGCTGTTTTCTAAGGCTTTGGGAGCACCCAGTGACAGTATAGTGTATTTTTTGTAAACATCTTGAGACCATGACAACTCTGGGGCCTGCAAGTTCCTGATTCATAAAATGATCAACTTCTTGAAGTCTAGAATGCTCAGACATTCTTAAATGGGCCTGGTCAAGCCTTGATATTTAGCCTACAAGGGCTGTGAATTCCACTGACTCTTGCTCTTTAAGGAGGGTCAGTGCATCCCACCATCACTGAGAATGTCATTTTAGAATTTTAATCATTTGCCAATTTAATCCTCCTAGAAGTCATATTCTAATATATGAAGAGAGATCCCAAATGGTTCTATCTCTGACTGGCTTCTTATGCATTCTGAGCCTCAGTACATAGATTATAAAAGTGTTATGGGAATTAACTGAGCTGATATAAATGAGAGTACCTGCTAATAGCTGGAACTCATCAGATGGTAACTAATGCAGCTAACTCTACCTTAATTACTGTACCTCGTACTAAAAGTTGTTATTATCTTCCTGAATATAGGTACAGATACAAATTTTTACACAGCCCTTTTCTCCTCCAGCTTCCTCTGTCCTCTGTCCTGTACCCTCCCTCATTACCCCATCATTGGCAAATTTGCTCTGTGTTGGAGATTTTATCCTATCTTTCATGTTTGGTGGCTACAATTAAGGTCAAATAATTGTACAGGACCTGAAAAGAGGAAAGTAGTAAGGGTTTTAAAATATAAGAATGAAGGGAGGCCTTTCACACCAGCAGCCTCCAGCCCAGTCAATCTCAGGCATCTTTCCCACCCAGTAAATGTGTTTAGCAGGATGTTCTCTCTCTCATCTCCCACCCATCCCCATCATGGGCCCAGTGTGGAATCCATTGGGAACCAAGAACCTCACAAACTCAAGGTCCTCCTAAGGGTATGCCCCAGACCAGAATTTATCATCTTTATTGTATTGCGTACACTGGAAAGACAGTGTTTCCCAATGATGTGGACTACCTGATTGAAATACTAAGAAAGTGTTATAAAAGAGAAATCGCTTTTTGACACCTCCTGTGGGCTAAAAGCCAATGTATTTTCACTTCTGGGCCGCAGAGCTCTAGAGGGAGTCTTTGGGCTTGGCCTCTGGCCTGTAAGGTTATAGAACTTAGCTGATACCGTAGCTGTCTCCTAAAATATGCTCACTAGAGATGAAAATGAACTGTGCAGACTTCTCTACCAGGGTGCTAAAGTGGGGGAGCATTTTCCCATTATTTTCAGACATAGGAACTGTTTGAATACAGACAGTTCTCAAATCCCCTCAGCTCTGACTCTCACCTACTCACCAAGGAAATGAGCTCTTGGAATTAGCAGTCATGTGCTTCTTTCTCTGTAGTTCCTAGGAGAACAAGGTTCAGAACACATCCTGGTTTTATTTCATACTCTGTTCTAGTTCTCTTTCCTTAGCAGAATTAAAAGCTGGAGGTATCATATTTTCTACCTGCCATACAGGGGTTGTGGTCCTAGAAACCCACAAATCAGATAAAGAAGAATGTGAACAATTCTCTCCCATCTTACTGCCTTGTGAATTTGGCTTCTGTCTTTGAAGTTTGAGCCTCATAGTGTGGTGGTTTGTGTGTCTATAGTTTCAATGTAAAAGTATGGGGCACATTCCTTCCAGAAGGGATTAAGTGCAAACTCTTTCCCATGCTAACGATAGAATAGTAGTGGTACTTTTATTGATAGCGTGCATTTTAACTTTTCTGTTGGCACATTTTTAATTAAAATAACATTTAACGGTTTGAAGCTAAAAACCTGATGTTTCTGCCTAGGAGTTTATAAGGGAATGATAACATATGGAGAAGTTTAACATTTAAATTGAATTTTATTATTTAAAACAGTAAAATATTTTATGACTACAACAATGCCCTGCCAAGCTCCATTTCAGCATCAAATGTGCTTTGTAAGGAGTCTTACAAAGCTAGGGAAAAAAGACATTTTAATTTCTTATTCTCCAAATGCTTTTTATAAAAAGTTCCACAAATGTGTTTTCTTTACAAATGAATTCTTGTTCTCTTCCAGCATCTCTTAACCACACACAAAAGCCTTGGAGCCAGGATGCCCAGGGGGTCCTTACTGATAACAACATGGCTGTTGACTTGACTTTGGTCTTTCGGGTTCCCAGGGTGGCCTTCCTAATGTTCCACGGTCTCCTCTGCTCCCTCCCCACTCTTCAGAAGGCTGATGTCTGGAAGTTAGGGTTTATCTCTTTCACATATGAGTGTGTTTAATTACTGAAGGGAAGTTTGATAAGCAACCTTCCTTCCTGGCCCCGTGGTGCCCCCCAATAGCAGTCTCCTGGTTAGTGGCAGAAATGGGTAGGAGATCTCATTCCTGACTCCCCAAGAGGACGCTGGCCACAGGCATGGGCGTCAGGTTTAATTTCCAAGTATGGCACGGACTTTGTGTATAAATTTGAGAAATTCCTCCAACTTTACCCATGTTAGCATAAAAATGATATCCACCCCCATCCAAAGACAAAGAGGCATTTTTCAGACATATTTCCTCCGAATAGAACAATCCCCCTCCTCATCTTCCTCACCCATATCCCTGCTCCCAATACAAACCTTCATCCACATATCTGGCCGCAGCGCTGGAATTTGGCCTCCAGTTTATACATAAAATAGTAAGCTTTTAAAATACCTTACTCCATGGGCATCCTGCTTCTCGCCACTGGGAGAACCATTCCAAGCTGGAAATTCAATAACAACACCTCACTCCCTCTATCCTTCCCATTTTACCATGCAGCTCCTTACACATACTTTTACAAAATCGCAAAGTGATTCTCATGTGACTGCAAATGATTATTTTTAGGATCAAAATATATCTTAACAAGCTGTGGAATTATGGAGTAAACAGATGGCCCTTGGGGAGGACCCATCTTGCTTTGAAGAATGCATATTTTTAACAGAACAATTTGAGCATCACTGGAAAAAAAAAAAAAGAGCTCTGGACCTTCTTACTCCTCTGCGAGGAAGTGGGCCAGGGTGGGGGAGAGGGGCTGCTGGCTGCAGAACACTGCCGAGGAATGAGAGGCTGAGCGGAGTCCTGCGTGTTCAGGCGCTAAGTCTGTGTGTCCGTTGTGCTAACCGAGATGCTTTTGTCTTCCCTTCTCTGTGTCTTGGTAGGAAAACCCAGTAGTTTCTTTCCAGAGGACAGTTTTATAGACTCTGGAGAAATCGATGTGGGGAGACGGGCTTCCCAGAAGATTCCTCCTGGCACCTTCTGGAGATCTCAGGTGTTCATAGACCATCCTGTGCATCTGAAGTTCAACGTGTCTCTGGGAAAGGCAGCACTGGTTGGCATTTATGGCAGAAAAGGCTTTCCTCCTTCACACACTCAGGTAACCTGAACCGTACATACCTGCTGACCTCTGTGGACTCCTGCTCAAATCTCTTAGCCCAAGTCAAGAAGCCCAACCCAGATCCTAGAGCCTGAAAGGAATTTCACATGTTTTATAGGTCAGTCATTTGCCCCCCTCTCACACCCTGCCTTTCAGACAAGGAAGATGAAGTCCCAAAGGCTCATTAAGAGAAAGGAGCTTTATGAAATTTCTTAAATAGGCTTGCTCCTATTACTCAGTCTCCTAAGTTAAATTATTGCAGAAATGTGATCTAGGGAAAAGTCATGCACTGAGTTTGAATCCTCATATTATCAACTGTGTAACCTTACATCTATTGCTCACCCTTTCTGAGAAAATTTCCTAACCTACAAAATCAAGATAATTATACCTATTTTCAGGGTTATTGTGAAGAAAAAAGAATAACATTTATAAAGCAGCTAGTGTCGGACCTCGCCCAAAATAAATGCTACTTTTAGTCTCTTGCATTCCTTCTGTTCTTCCTTGTTACCCATTTTACTCAAGACATATGTACCAGAAAACACAAAGAATTTGTCCAAGTGGATGGGCAGTTGAGTGGGAGAGGATATGCTTAGCATGTGTGAGGCTCCACTTTCCACTCCAGCAGCACAAATACATACATATACATACATAAAAACATATATACATGCATACTTATCCAAGGTGATTGACATACCACTAGTCATAAATGATAAGACCTTAGTCAAGGTCTTGCCAATAATTTAAATCATAAGCATCATTGGTCATAGCCAGGCCACGTGCTATCTTCCAGGCCCTCTTAGCCAATTCAACGTTCTGGTTAATAGCTAGATGGATATACTTGCTAAGGATGGAGCCACAGAATGATAGAGGGGCCTGGGCCCCTGCTGGTGGCAGAACTACCATGCTGGTCTTCACTTGCACCTACATGTTTTTACATGACATAAAATAAATAAATCTATCTTTTTGTTTTTTCATTAGCTATCAGGCTAGATTGCTACTTAGAGTAGGCCAGTAGGATTTAAACACCTACCCACTGTTAAAACTGTTTGACAAACTTCTCTGGAGTCTCACGCTAGCAGTCTCAGATCAATTGGCATTTCTATTTGGCACAGCATGTAATTATTGATAAGAGTTCTGGGCTAATCCAGTTTACTTCTCCTGAAATTGCTCCCTGAAACTGAAGACTTTAGAAAGGATCATTGACAAAAGACAAATAGGTATAAATTAAATTTCTGTCTGCTCATGACGGACACTGCAGTCTTGTTCAGTGCTCCAATCCAGTTCTAGACCCCTGAAGTTCCTATCATAACTTGCATGGAGCTGTGTTGTTAACCACAGGCCCACCATTGAAAAAGCATGGTTGTCCTGGTATGTACGTCTGGGTAAAGGCTCAGCATGCATACAACAAAAATGAAGACAAATCATATTAGAAAATAATCCATTATTATACCCTCCTCACAAGAGAGTTGGGAGAACATTATCATGAAAAAAATGGGTTCTGGGAAGGAGTTTGAACTGATTGATCAGCTTTCCTGGGGCTTCAGCCTGTCCTACCTCTCTCAACTTGTGTTTCCTTGTCTTCCACCAAGACAAGCCCAAAGAAGGAATGTGGTGTGTGCTAGAGCAGATCCACTACTAATTATACTCTCTTTATGCCTTAGTTTGACTTTGTGGAGCTGCTAGATGGAAGGAGGCTCCTGACCCAGGAGGCACGGAGCCTGGAAGGACCCCAGCGCCAGTCTCGGGGTGGCGTACCTCCCTCCAGCCATGAGACCGGCTTCATCCAGTACCTGGATTCGGGAATTTGGCACCTGGCCTTTTACAATGATGGGAAGGAGTCCGAAGTGGTTTCTTTTCTCACCACTGCCATTGGTAAGAAGCTCTGCCCACCGCACTGTCTCTCGGTGGGAGAATACTGGGGGGCTCTGGGGGCTGATGTGTGCAAGGGACTGTGTCTTGCCGAGAGCTATAGATGCCACCCGGAGCATGGGGAGGCCATCCCCAGTGGGCTTGCTGGCAGGAAGTAGGCATGAGCTGCCAGGCAGGGAGGCTGCCTGCCTTTCCCCTGCCATCTGTGCAACGATGTGTGGACCTGCAGCTGCGTTTCCAGACCAGGGGGGTGGGGCTGATGAGACAGAAATCCTGGATGACAAGTCACATGGAGACAACATCTTTCCACTTGGCACTTGTCCCCCACCTACTTATCTTGACGGTCTCACTTGGTTCAACTCACTGATTTGTTATTTGGGTTTGATTTGGGGTTTGTTTCGTTTTGTTTTGTTTTGCTGCTTTTGGAGCCAACAACCCCTGGCAGAAATTTTTTTTTAAAAAGGACAAAGGCTTGAGGAGGGAAAAACTAGCACAGCAAAGGGCTGGGTGAGCAGTGCTACCTCTCAGCTGGGGGTGTTGCTGAGGCCCTCTGAGGATGCCCTCTTCTCTCACAAAGAGCAAGCCCTGGTGTTTTAGATGAGTCTGAACACCATCATCGTCCCTTGTGGAAGAGAGCTCTGGCTGCCTCAGAAGCCTGTGTATGTTTTGGTAGCTTGGGCCTCTGTTGAAAGAATTTCTCTTTTTTTTAACCAACATGTACCACAGAATGTGTCTCCTCCTGAGGTGAGCACGGCGTGCCAAAGCACGTGATAGGCTTGGTGGCTCAGGTCAGGAAAATGTGTTTCCTGAGTTTGCACTGGAAACACTGTGACACAGCCTAGATAAGTTCCCTACAGGGAAGTAAAACCTCCAGAAAAACACAAGTCCACAACCAGAACTCTTGGGAATGGAGTTTCCCCTAACGAAAAGCTCTGTGTGGCTTAGAGTTCACCTATATGAAATATGTATGTTTCTGTCCTCAGCTGGGAGTCACTTTGAAAAGTGGGCTTTAAAGAAAATCTCTTACTTTGGTGCTCGTTGCAAGACTATGGTTCCTCCATGTAAACAGCAGTGGTCATGGTCAAGCCATTTCACGCTCATTCGCAGTTTGCCCTTAGTACTGAGAGTAGCTTCCCATTAAATATGGCTAAGCTTCTGCTATCATTTTAGCCTTGAAATTCTACCCTGTGGCAAACTGAGGGAGGTAGGAACCAGCAGACAACTGCTCAGATGAAGGAAACATCCCTTTGTGCTGGCCTTGTTTTGAAAATGTCCATCCTTGCCACCGGACTCTGAGTACCTCGAGGGAAGAGATGTTGATAGTCCTCTGTCTCCCCAGCACCCACCCAGTCCCCAACATGCACTGACCCTCAGTTGGTAAGAGAAGGGGCATGTGTGTGACCTGTCCCTCCCAGATTCAGTCCTGAATCTCTGTCATGAAGTTGGAGTTGAATCATTCAAATCACTAAACTTTCCCAGATCTTGCTTTTTCAAGCTTCTGGAATTTGAGCCTGTGGCTCAGTGACTCCTGATAATAATAAGGCAGATCCCTGCCACTACCCCATCACTAGAGGCCCAATTCTACCACTTTCCATCCAGTAGGCTGTCACCTTGCTGGATTTGCTAGGCTACAGTCCTGTGTCTTTTCCCTTTCTAGACATGGTGGCTTCGATTTAGGCACGTAATTATCAAGTTGCAGTGGTGCTGAGTTCCAGCTTCATGATCTCCCTGTCTGACTCCTCCTAGGCATGCTTCATGGGGAAGCACAGAGCTAAGAGCTCTTACAGTCAGACTTCTGCTTCAATAACTGAGTATAAATATGAAAGGTTATTAATTTAAGCCCCCAAAGAAAACTAGTTTTAATTAGGATGTGCATCTTAGAGAAGTAAAATGGAGGTACCTTGAGGTACCCTTGCCAACTTTTGCTTGTCACAGCTTGCTAACCTGCTTTGTCATAATTAGGAAGATGGTCTTGCTTTTCCCCCTGGTTCCTCGGTTCCCAGCTAAGCGATGAAACCTCTCTCTACCTCTCCTTAACTCTGCGTGTCTGTTCAAGCAGATAGGCTTCCCTGTGCTTCTTGGACTTTAACATACTTATGAGTCACTTGCTGATTTTGTTCAAATGCAGATTCTGCTCCAGCAGGTAAGGGGTGGGGGGCTGAAAATGTGCTTTTCTGACCAGCACCTGGTGATATTTGAGTCCACATTTTGAGTAGCAAAAGATTGTAATACTTCATGGGTGGTTCTCAAACACCGTGGAATGAAGGATTCACTAAGAGATGAGAAGCAGGTAAAAATTACAACACCTGGGCCTTTCTTCAGAAATTCTGACTCAGTAGGTCTGCCCCAGGGCTGACGTGATCCTGAGCTGGAGTTCTGTCGACGAAGACTTGGAAACAAATGTCTCATGAGGCCACTTGCTGCTTATCCCTTCCGTTTCTCTCCCATGCTCCTTCCTCAGCCATGCATAATCATGTCCCCTCTCTGAGCTTCTTTTTCTTTCCTTTTGTTTCCGTCTGTTTGTTTTGGGCCAAGAAAATGAAAAATAGCCAGACGATGCTATCCCCGTTGTGGAGATTAGAGAAAGACATATAAAGTGCCTGGCATGGCTCGGGCCGCCCTGTGCCCGTGGTAAATGGAAGCTGTTAATGTTCTCTGCTGTCCTGTTTCTCCTTCCCCTTTCTTTTGCTGCTTTTCTGACCTGTCTGTCTCCCTTCAAGCTACAGTGATTGTTTAATGAACACTGGTTTTTTTTCTTTAATGCAAAAACAGACTGATTCTGATGTTGCTATTAATCCCTCTTTCCCCGAGAGTCCCTGGCATTGAGTCTCAGCTGTCTGTGATCATTACCTGTGAGCTGTGAGTTGTAATTTGTCTTGGCAGGTTAATTAAAAGTTTAGGTCTTGTTTTAGTGAAGTCATTATGGTCCCAAAATACAACTGTAACTCCCCGGTTTGCTTAACACACAAATTGGAATATGACCCTCCCTTCGTTACATGTCCAAATGCAGATCAAGACTTTAAAAAGATCTGGGATGTCAGAATCCAGAGTATTTATGTCTGTTTGTAATTAGGTAACAAGAGAAATAGTTGTGTTTAATTTAATGAATGGCTGTATTGTATATGGGGTTTTTTTTGTATATGTTTTTGCTTTTCCCTTCATTTAATGCACTCCAGCTGATGATTTTAAATTAAACGAGTTTATCTTTTGCCTTGAAAAAAATTCCAAGAGCACTTTACAGATTGCAGTGCACAAATACATCCACACAGAGACCTGATGTTGACAGGGCTCTCACTGAACTGAATTCACGCTCACAGAGTTTAGTCGACTCCCCCAAAGTTAAGGGCAAAGCTCGGATGGAAACTTGGACTGCAAGTCCCACAGGCCCCCACTATACCACAGTATCTCATTATTTCTCAGGGCTACTATTAAATATTTTATTCCTGTTTGTATTATATGGAACATAATCTCCCCCCTTGTTAACTTGCCTCCAGTTATAAGTAGCATCTTGCATAAAGCCAGGAAATCTTGAGAAGTCTTTAGAAAGTCAACGAAGAAAATTTCACAGCATCCAAAACTTTAAAAATGAAAATACCTTTTTATGAATTTCTTGCTACCTCAAGACCAAGCTAGTTAGCATTGCAGTATTTTGGGTCTCCAGGTAGCATCTTGTCTTTTTCCTTTGGTTGATGCTGAAGCATAAAAGGACAGATCACCCTGACACTGTGACAACGTGAGCCCAGCTGGAAAGTGACAGAGGTGCCCTAGAGTGGATTTAGAAACCCAGAGAAGAGAGAGGAGAATCATTTTAGAAAACAGAGGCTGAGAGGTTTTATGAGAAACATGCTCTGGTCTTCCTGGCGCTAATTGAAAAGAAGAGCAGCCACTGGAAGTTGATCTCTTCTGTGTCCAAGGACTAGAAGCAGATTTAGCTCTCTCCTTCCTCTGTTCACCCTTCCTTACTCCTTTGCATCCATTATCCAATATATATCATATCCGTGGCCTTTTGAGGATACAGGGAAAGTGTGGCATAGTTCCTGGCAAAAGTAGCTAGAGGTCTAAATTGAGGGAGATGAAAACTTTATACAGTAAATGCTGTTAAGTCAAGGAAAAGAGCAAGAAAGGCTACTCCTGAGCCCAGAGTGCCAGGAAGGTTGGAGGAACAAGGACACTTTTGCAGCTGGATCAGGGAGAGCTTTCTGGATGAAGCAACATTTGATCTAGGCCATTCCAGAAACCATTCCAGGTGAGGATGGCAGGAGCAAAAGGTAAGTGGACAGAACATTAACAGCTAGGTATGAGCAGCCAGCAGTTCTGTTTGACCACAGTTGGAGGATGCCCTGAAGGTGAAACATGAGCTGTTAAGGAGACCTTGAGTACCATCCTAAGCAAAAAAGTCCATCCTGTAAGTATTCAGTGTTATAATAAGCATATGAGGGGCTGGGGATTTAGCTCAGCGGCAAAGCGCCTGCCTTGCAAGCGCAAGGTCGTGAGTTCGGTTCCCGGTACCAGAGAAAAACCAAAAAAAATAAAAAATAAAAAAAAAAAATAAGCATATGAGGGCAGGAAATGACCAGAGCCAGAAGGTTTATCTTCTGAGGCCCAGGACATGAGACTGTTTGTCTATGTAGTCAAGGGAAGTTTCTGAGATTGAGCTTTGTGATTTCATGGAGGAAAAGAAAAAGAGCTAAGGAGGAAAAGAAGAGTTCTGGAGGACAGACTCGCTCACTCAGGAGTGGTGCTTTGCGTTGGCTTCTGCAGTGTGTTCTTTTGCTCCTGGGTGTGCCTCGATACTTGGAGCTAAGTTTCCATCCTCCAAGGGTCTTCAAAAATGGGTCCTTCATGATTTTTCTAAGGACTCCTAGACTGTGCTGTTTCTTTATTTCCCTAATTTTGATTGAGACTTAGCCTGTGAGCACATTTGCAAGCATCCACAGAGAAAAATCCTTGACATTACATACTGTAATTTCTATAAAAGCAAGCAACTAAGAAAAGTGATTTGG